GGTCCTTCTTTCCTCTCCCCTCCCCCAGCCCCACTGCCTCTAACAGAAAGAGGCAGCAAGGGGTGGGGGAGAAGGTGGTGCTTCAAAGCAGCATCGCCGCATGGAGCCTGGTGCCATACCCCAGGCTCCATGCAGTGCTGCTGCTTTGAAATGCCATGTGCTGCCTGGGGCCAGGTGGAGTCCCCAAGCTGGCCCGCATGTGGTGTTCTTTCCTCTCCCCTCCCCCAGCCCCACTGCCTCTAACAGAAAGAGGCAGCAAGGGGTGGGGGAGAAGGTGGTGCTTCAAAGCAGCATCGCCGCATGGAGCCTGGTGCCATACCCCAGGCTCCATGCAGTGCTGCTGCTTTGAAATGCCATGTGCTGCCTGGGGCCAGGTGGAGTCCCCAAGCTGGCCCGCATGTGGTGTTTCAAAGCGGCAGCGCTGCGAGGAGTCCGGGGTCAGGTGGGGACACCCCTGCCGACTCCGGGCTGCATGCAGCACTGCCGTTTTGAAATGCCACTTGAAGCCTGCTGCTGTGGCGTTTCAAAGTGGCAGTGACACATGAAGCCTGGAGTTAGTCTCCTGCTGGCCCCATGCTCCCTGCAGTGCTTTTGCCTTTGAAGTGTAGCAACAACCCTGGGGCTCTTGCCTCGCTTCATAGATGGAAGCACCCTTATTAACTAATCGAATAGCTGATGCAACTTGCATCAACTATTTGATTAGCCAATTAATTGAAATTTTACATCCCTAGTCTCAGTTCCCTGTTCCTGTCCAGTAGATATTTTAGGAGATGATTCTTAAAGGCAGGAGCAGGGCACTGAGACTCCTAGTCCCCCTACACTCCCTCCACACCGAGAAGACAGTGCTGGTTGCTTTCAGAAATGGACTGACAGCACAGGGCTAGGGAAAGCAGGGAGCCTGCTTTATTAGCATCCCCACTCCATAACTGGAAATTGTGATAGCCTGGGAGACACCCCAAGATCAGCTAGCTGATCAGAATGGACTGGTTGGTGACCACTGCGCTAAGGATATTAAATTGTATTTAATCCGCTAATCAATTACTTGGTTGATAAGGAGGGGAAACTGCAGAGCTGCAGCTGGGTTGGCTCCTGGCCCCAGAAGGTAATCCTGCTGTGGCCCTGCCTTTTAAATGCATTAAAAGCAGCTCGGCTCTTACACTTAAAAAGCAGAAGTGCAGTGTCTGGGACAGGGCGTGAGCTAGGACTGCTGAGTGGCTAGCACCAGGTCCCCTGTTGTGTCTCTCTCTCCCCTGGCAGAAATGGTGCAGCACTGGCTCCTGCTTCCCCTCCCCCTGCCA